GACTGGAGCTTAGAGTCATTCATGAATGAATAATGAACTCAGGAAAGATCAATGACGTGTTCTCTTAACCCTCTCAACCTATTTTGCTGAGAACTGAATAAAAGGAAAGTTTGCAAGGAAGAGATGATGAGAGATTTAGGAAGAGAAAAATATAGTTGCTGTAATGGATAACTCTTGAAGGAATGAAATTGGGCGATTCATCTAGTTTACTATGAATGCTCTTTCAAGTTTCAACCATGAGTCACCTAAGTAATTTTTTCTTTGCCATTTAATTCCAATATTTATTTGTTTTATTATTTTCCAATAGTAAAATAAAATAGTGTGCAAAAAATGAAGTTTTTTTTAAAGAGAGGAGTCAGTAGAAACATCTTGGTGTTCTTTGCTCTGGTATATGACATACAATTAATATAATGCCATAAAGGGTTTTCCCTCAAGGAATTATTTTAAACATCTCACATAAGCTCCTCTTCTTTCATAATCGATGATGAGCTTTTGTAAAATTTTTACTGATGTAGAATAACTGCAAATTCAATAGCACAGTGAAAATCGGTCATTAAAAAATAGCAGAACAGGCTGGGTGCAGTGGTGCTTGCCTGTAATCCCAGCACTTAGGGAGACTGAGGCGGGCAGATCACTTGAGGTCAGGAGTTCGAGACCAGCCTGCCTAACATGGTGAAACCCCATCTTTACTAAATACAAGAAATTAGCTGGGTATGGTGGCATGCGCCTGTAATTGCAGCTACTGGGAGGTTGAGGCAGGAGAATCGCTTGAACCAGGGAGGCAGAGGTTGCAGTGAGCCAAGATCGCATCACTGCACTCCAGCCTGGGCAACAAGAGCAAAACAACATCTCAAAAAAAAAATAGCAGTGCAGGCAATTGATGGTGCTAGGTACCACGGTGTTGCATGCATGGTAGCATACATCATGTGACAGATTGGAAGAGTGAAGAATGACAGGAGAACACTGCTTAGTGCCCGGTAGGGTGCTCTGTCTCTCAGCCCAGAAGGACCTTTTGTTCCCAGCGTCACACCAGTCTGCTAAAGGAAAGTGGCCCTTGCTCCAAGCTTCCAACTCAGCTTATATTAGAAGACGGGGCTGACATCAGTCCTGTGGCGTTGCCAACAGGTACCGCCACCTGGCATGCCTCAATTCCTAGGCACTCCAGTGGTGGCCAGGCAGCAGTGTTTCTTGCTTTTTGTTTATTTGTGTTCCTTTTGCTTTTTAAATCATTTTCTGACAAGCTGCACACCAACAAGCACTGTTTCCGTATCGCAGAAGTCAGCAGGAATTGTTTGGAGGCGGGAGAGAAAAGAGTCAATAGCCTTTTAAAATATTGACAGCCTTGGTCTATTTCCATGGCTAAGGGGAAATTCAGATGCCATGTTGAAGGTTTCTGCTGAACCTTTAGTCACACCTCTTACGATTTCTGTTATTCCAGGAATAGCCAGTCTCTGATGGCTCCTGCTGAGATGATGTTAAGAGACAATACTCATAATACGTTCCACCTTTCTTTGGGGCAGTTCAAAAATCTTGTAGATTCAGCCAAACAGTCAGGAGTAGAGAGTTAAGTTCGACTCAAGTATCGCTGCCTAAAGCGAAAGCCGTCTTGCTGAGTGAGAGGGAAACTCTCCAGGAGACAGACCTGCCAGCAGTGATGCCACCTGTTGCCTGCTGGGTGCGTTTTATCAGCATGCTCTGGGCTGGTTCCCTGGAGGAGCCCAGGAGGACTGAGGGGAGAGGGAAGCACCATCCCTGGAGGTGTCTGCGTGGGCTCCTCGGGCTCCAGTCCTCTTCCCCTGCCTCTCGCTGCTTCCTCAGCTCTCCTTATCAAGAAGATTGGTAGATCTGCATTTTTTTTATCTGTTGAGGTAATCCTATGACACTGGAATGCCAGGACAAGGGGTCTTCATTTAGAATCTAGGGAATGAGGAGGGGAGAGTAACCCCTTGGATTGTCCATAGTAGCCTGGACACGGACTGACTGTCTCTTTCAGCACCCCATTCAGATAAGGAAAGGGTGGTTGGGAAACTACGTCGGAGGTTGAAGGCCAGACGCAAGGCAAATGAATGGCGAAACCTGTCCCAGAATGTCGGACTCTCCACCCCCGGCTCGACCCCCCGGCTCGACAGACTAGATGGTTTTCCTAATTCGGTGTTGTCGCATTACTTAGGGAAGTTGTCTCAGTTTCTCTTACCTTTGCCAGGCCCCGGAGCTCATGTTCCCTATGTCCCTTCTTTCGGCTCTCCTTTCATTCCTACTCTGCCGCACTGTTTCTCTGCGGACACCCTTTGTCATTTTAAGGGGACAATTCATCGTACAAGGGACTTTCCTGCTCTCTGAAGGGCTTTAGTATCCCTGGCCCCAGACACTAACTTCTATTATTCATCCCTCTCATGAATGTAATGCACAGAAACACCCTCATCAATTCCCAGACACCCAGGGTTTGGGAGTCATGGGTGCCCTAGTTGAGAGCTGCTGCCAGAGGCTGGGACAGGCTCCTGCTGTGCCATCTAACCCAGTACTACCGATGCCTCCGCTCTCCTGACCACATCCCTCCTTGTCTTTAAAATTAGGCTCAGATTTCAGTGGGAAGGCTTCCCCGACTGATTCATTCCTCTAACATTTACTTAGCAGATATATATGGACACCTGCTCACTGTTCCAGGCACCATTTGAGGAGCGGCCACCCATCCGTGCCCCTTCCTGACACTGCCCCGCCTTAATCTTTCATGTCCATGTTATTCTAAAAGTGTACCGAGGTCATCCAGCTCCTACCTAGGAAGGAGCTTTTCTGGGACAATGACTACTTCTACTTTTATTTTTATCCCAAGATGTGAAACTGTCACCAAGGGTATATTTTATTTCCATAACAGGGAAAATGGTTCTGAGGTGTCATTTTTTTCTAACTGGAAGATTCTATTTTTCCTGATATCTAAATGTGATGGGGGATCAGCATGACAAGTATTGTGAGTTCCTTGGTCAACAGTAAACGCAGGCCAGGCGCGGTTGCTCACACCTGTAATCCCAGCACTTTGGGAGGCAGAGGTGGGTGGATCATTTGAGGTCAGGAGTTCGAGACCAGCTTGGCCAACATGGTGAGACCCCGTCTCTACTAAAAATACAAAAATTAGCTGGACGTGGTGGCAAGCGCCTGGAATCCCAGCTACCCGGGAGACTGAGGCAGGAGAATCACTTCAACCCAGAAGGCAGAGGTTGCAGTGAGCTGAGATCATGCCACTACACTCCAGCCTGGGCAACAGAG